GCTTGTGCGAGGCAGGCCCGAGCCCCGGCTGTCGTTGTCTCGTCAGCCCTTTACCCACCACAGGGGATGGGGCTCAGTGTCGGAGCGTGCTTTCTGCAGTGTCCGTGGTTATTGGGTAACTTGTGGTTTCCACATCAGAAGCCTGGCTTAGAAATAATTCACCTCTCTCTGTTTTTTTTAAGTCCTGTTATCCTACACGCTCAGCCATACTGCTATTGCCACTGCGTTTATGTGGTGATGTTGGTTTTTTTATGTTCGGAAGATGGTGAGGTAACACGCAGTCTCTCACAGTGGAGTTGTTGCTGTGGTAAGGCAAGAGCCGGTAGCAGCCCTCAGGTATTTCATCTGCAGCATTCTTAACCCTCCTGGCAGCTCTGTTATTAGCTTCCAGGATAAGAATGAATGCCAGAGAAAACGGTTGATTAATCCAAAATGTAGAGCTCTTCTCCCGTGGCTCTTCATTATTTCACATCTTCAACATTTCTTTCCATGTCTTAATAATTAGTGAAGGTTTTAAGTGCAGCTGTAAGCGTGAGTACTCAAGGTACTCCAGTGAATCATGAGGAATAAGTTGATGCTTGCCTTGCTGGGTTGTCTCTATCGTGGGAATTGGTATTCCTTTGATAACTAATTTGAAGATAAGAAATTACCATTACCGTACCCGGCAAGTAAACGTAATGTGATCAGCAGTTTCATGGGTGGAAGAGCCAGTAACCAGATGGTGATGTTCAAACGTGACTTACACTTAGATTATGTCTCAGTGGATTCAATTTCTTGAGTGACCAGTGTTGATGCTTAACAGCATAATAATTCCGCTTTCTGTAAGCTCTTCCACAGCAAGTTATGTCTTTCAGATACTTACTCTTCAGGCCCTTGCTCATGAACATAGGGTCTTAGCCTCACTCCTTGTGTGTCTTCCAAGCACTTTCTGCCTTGCGGTGCGAGGCATCACGAATTTTTAGTATAGTAGAATGGTGTGTGCTTCTCTGGCACAAGCAAAGTCAACTTTTGGGAGCATAATCAGTCGTGTTCTTTTTATGATGTGAAATATGGAGTAGAGAAAACACTGGTTTGCATATAATTTTTGGAGAAGCATCTAAAATGATTTTTGCATCCCACTGTTTTCATGATATCAGTTTCTATCCCGTAATATTCTGAATAAACCTTAGACTTGCTCTGATTAAGAATTAATATTTTCTTTAAAGTGGAAGAAATCCATTATGGTTTGATAGGGGGTGGCCGTTGTTGTTTGGAAGACATCCCTCTGTAATTGTGATCCTTGGACATAATACACTGTGCTGCTTTTACTTGTAAAGCTTTAGGTAATGTTAAGGAATTTGTTTTTATTTTTCAGTATAGCAGCTGATTCTGTAATATGGATGCTTCTGCAGTGGTACCAGGGATCTGGTCGTTACAGCCTTTTCACTATCGGATAGTAAGGCTTGGGCGGTAAACGTTGGACTGAAAAGGTTCAATGCAGCAGCCAGTTGCTGTTCTTTAGCTGAAGATACGTAGTTTCTTGGGCAGTATTAGGGGTACTTGATGAAAAACTTGTAGAAACTGCCTTTACGGCAGATCTTTTCCACTGATGTTCTCAGGATGAAATTGTTTTTCAGCCTCTATGGTGCAATGTCACCAAAATTAGGGAAGGAGAGGGTATCTGACATGCCAGTGGATTGACCGCCGTGGTTGGTCAAGCACGTGCTGGCAAAGGAAGAATGGGTATTGTTTTTTTGCCATCGCAATTACATTGTGCATCTCTTTGGGCTGCGTTAGGGACCAGAGTTTAGGTTGCAAAGGCCCATCGTGAAAATGAGGTGTCCAGATTCAGGTTTGAGGGGAAAAAAAAATTGTGATTTCCTGAGAGGATTGAAGAACTGCTGGATTTTGGTTTTCCAGATGTTTTACATATGTAGGAGGTTTTGTGGGTTTTTTTAGGTTTTAGTGTTGCTAGTTTGGGGCATGTCCATATTTGATCTTGGGAGCAAAAGATAGCAAAGCAAACATCTGGCCCTGCTTAGCTTCCACAGCTGTATTTTAAGGTGATGAGATTTTAGATGTGTTCACTGTTTGTGTTCTTGAATGAATAAACCGGAACCATTCTGTATGCAAGTATAGGTGCTGAGCTCTTCCTTCTGAGACAGCCACCCTTTCTGACCACGTTGAGCTTTGCCTCAGAGCACCTTCTGCCTGGGCAGCTGGGTGAGAGGAGAGCCAGGGGCGGACCTCTGCGGATGGGCTCGGAAGATGCAGACCATCGTGCTGCTCCTTTGCGAAAAGGAAACCACAAAAATTTGGGGTGGGTTTTTTGGTGGGGATTTTTTTTTGTCCCAAAGCCATTGCTTGTTGTATTACAGAGGTAACTCCTGGCTCTTGTTGCAAAGATATTTTAAAACTAGTGTTACCCACTAGTAGGGGAAGAATTCCTAAATAACCTTTAGGGCTGTTTGGTTTTTGTAATTGTTTTAGCTGTTGGGCTTTTAAAGAGACCTGTAAAAACATATTAAGAAGGGGAAGAAAAATTGCATAGTAACCAGACTTGAATGATTCTGTGGATCAGTGTTCAGTTTTTAAAATCTTGTCATTCATCACATTCCTTTACTAATTTCAGGTGAAAGTATATGACTTCCTACGTGTGTGATCAGTGGTCAAGAGCTTTTATTAAATAGTTAGTTACCAGCACATCTTTTCCGTTTTCTCTGGGGAGCGATACATGTTGTAATGTTTTTACAGGTGTCTTAGGCACACTCAGGAAACACAGTTTAGCAAAACTGGTTTGCATAGTAGTGCAGTGTAAAGTTTTGTGCAAATCAGTGCTTCAGAAAACTGCTAATGGAAGGCACCAACTTTCAAGAGATAAATTCTTCCTTAACATCGAAAACAACCATAATGATAAAATTATAGAATGCTACACTTCTATATGACACGTTTTTCTATATGTGATGTTGTGAAACAACATACACAGGTCAGTAAGTTTTGGAAATTCAAGTGCTAAGGGTTATTAAGTCATTGCAGAAGTTTATTCAGAATGTGAACTCCCTTTATATAAGGAACGCTTGACCTTGACCATAAATTTCACATGTTCCATTATCACTGGTAGGAAATTATATTCCTGCATGTCTTCATCATGTGGACAATGGCAAATTTTTAACTCATTGCCAGTAAAACTGCTCGTCATATTTGGAAGTATTTCCAGCTTGTAAAATTGGCTCAAGTGCAGAATGAGGGCTGTGTGACAGCTGTTTTTTGTCAACACAGATACTCACTGGGCAGACACTGAGGACAAACAGTATGGTTGTTTAACCACAGGCTGCATTTGGGCATTGTATTGGTGTAACCCTTTCAGTTGATGGACTGATGACTTACAAAAATGGTTATTCTAAGGAAATCATGAGTATTACTGTAATTATTCTTTCTTGTATGAATAGCTGCTGTATAGAATACCCTTCTACCTGCATAACTGCATTAACAGCAAGCTGTATGTCATTGTAATTACACTCGTTTTGCCCGAGTGCTGCAACTTTATGTTTCAGACCCAACTTTTTGCCTTTAGGTTGGGCAATTAAATCTGTAAATGTTTGTTCCGTCTGTGAATGTGTGCTTTCCTCAGATTTCAGAAGTGCCTGCTTTAGTATGGCTCTTGCTGTGGGACGATGGGATACTGCCACCTATTTAGCTAGCTCTCAGCTCTTTGCTGTAAAGCAGCCGGGATAGTACACTTCAGCACTGTGACCTGCTGAAGTTCCTGTCGGTGGTGCCACCACCTGGTTCAAAATTGGATAGCCTGGAGTCGTAGGCAGGTCTTCTGTGGCTTGTCACTGTTAGAAATGATGTAGAGAAATCCCGTGTTACTCCAATTCTCTTTCCTCCTTCATGTCTGCAGTGCACGAGGGTTGCTGTGCTGCAGGCCTGGCACGGTTGGGGTGTGCCACGGCCAGCAGGAGAAAAATTGCCGTTTTGAGGTGGTACGCTACCGCCAGCCCTCCATAAACCTCTGAGTGATACTCTGCGGCAGAGGGCGGGTGGGTCTTGTCTTCAGTCTTCTGTATTTGGTATATAGATTATTGGTTTCTGGTTTTGAAAATGACTTTGATTAGTTCACGGTTTTGAACTGTGGTCTGAAGGCTCTTTTAATCGCAAATTAAAAGTTTAACATGTTTTTATTCTTACAGGAAGGAAGAAACAGAAGCTTGCCAAAGAGAGAGCAGGGCTTTCCGAGGTAATACTGCGTTTGATAGTGCAGTGCTCTTTTGACAGAGGTTTCATTTGTGATATTTACAAAATTTACTTAAAGATCTGGTTTTATTCCATCATTACAAACACTTCTGCAAATACGCAGTCTTCATCTTTTTTAACGCTCGCAAGTAACCATGTGAAATGGTGGTTCTGTTTTTGTGTTAGACAGAGGCTTGTACTAGAAAATACAACGCTTACTGTGTGACTTGATGGTGTTTTCCTCTTTGTGGTATGTGCAAGGACTTTTCAGACTTAAAAATCATTCATGGGATACACCTCTAACTGAACTTGATAGTTTTTTGCTCTAAGTATTGATTTCTCTTTCCTTTTCGCCAATGGATCCTGAAAGAAAAGATAGATTTATCTTAACCAAGTGTAAGAAACGTAGTTGTGGTCAACATAACGCACCTTAGAATCTATATTTGCTACAAAATTGTGTACTTAATAAACTGAGCAGAGGTATTTCAGGCTGTCTTTCTACAGGTTTGCGATGCGGTGATACGAGACCTGAGTCTGCTTTTCAAAAACATTCTGTGCACATTTAACTTAGTGGTGACACTTTTACTTTTTTGCCAGTTTCAGTATAATGGTGTGGTGTTGTGTGTGTTTGATGTCAGTTGAGAATGTTTCCTACTAACTTGTTCACTGACTGTTGTTTAGGGCCAACTTCAGTTTTACTCTGTGTGTTACAGTTGCCTGACCTGAAAGATGCTGAGGCAGTTCAGAAGTTTTTCCTTGAGGAGATTCAGCTTGGCGAGGAACTACTAGCTCAAGGTAATAGTGTATATTTGAAGGCTAAATTGTACATTTTTTTTTTTTTTAACCTTTGCTAGAAGATGATCTTTTGGGGAGTCAAATTCACCTGGGAGAATCTGTTTACTTTTTTCTAACCTTCTGTGTTTAGAAGCAGCAGCAAGGGAGTAGGAAAGAAAAGCGTGGATTGATTCTCAGTAGCGGAGTCCACTGCTGATGGATGTTTTACTGAAATACTTTACAGTGTTGGAGAAGGTTGATGTCAAGACATTATGATTTGTCATACAGGTGAATACGAGAAAGGTGTTGATCACTTGACCAATGCCATTGCTGTGTGTGGACAGCCGCAGCAGCTACTACAAGTTCTACAGCAGACTCTTCCACCACCAGTGTTTCAAATGCTTCTAACTAAGCTCCCTACAATAAGCCAGGTATGTGAAACATTCCCTATTGAACGCCTTCTCTTACCCACTGCGTCAGTCTCGAGCGTTGTTTTTTCTAATACGTTTTTGTCTATGTTCAGTTAGATTAAAAGAAGCTTTTCTTTTTCCACCTGAAACATTAAAAGGCATATATGAAAAATACCTTGTAGCATTAATAGCAAACAGGGTAAAAGTAGAAATACTTAACTTCTCTTGTGTAGGGTATGCTAAGCTCTTCTGAAGTAGAGACATCTGACCGCAGCTCTGATTCTGTAAGCGCATCCACTGTTTCCCAAGTACAAGTTGGGGGATCAGAAAAGTGTTAACTTTCTTGCACTGGGTCTTGAGGTTTGGGTATTTTTTTAAATTATATATCTACAAGTGTCTGCAGGTGCTCTGAAATTGCACTAGTATTAGTCTGCTTTTGCTAGCCTGTTGATCCTGGGCTAGGTATGAACACGAACTGTTAACTCGCACCAGAACATGTGACAGTTTTGGAAGCGCGGGGGTTTCCCTGATGATCAAGGTGTTCGTAGCCCTGTGTGTATAAAATTCCCTCCCTTTTTAGCCTGAGTTTTGTGGTGACGTTGGTAATGTGCTGGCAGGTGAGGCTGTTGTAAAATGTCACATGCTTTGTGTTCTTGGAAATGCAGGGGTACTCCCTAATGGTGTTACCTCACGTACAGCAGAGACTCAGCGCTGTGCATCACTTGGCTCTCTTTGCACCCCAGGCCTGGTTATAGTTCTGCTTAAGGTCCATGTAGTGAGTAAAAGCACTGAAAAGCGACAGGTGCATGAGGTGTAATGGCCTGGGGGAACCAACGGAGCAAAAATGTTTCCTTAGGGAGCAGTGCCAAAAGCCACACAGAGGTCGTCACTTGAGGCTGACAGAACATTATTTGCCTGACTTTGGCTTTGTTAGGCATCGCACGGTGCGTCATTTACGTGGAACTGACTTCAAAAACTTACATGAACTAGATTACCATTTTAAACATTGATCAGTTTGCTCAGTAATTACACTGCTTAATACTCAGTGTAAAATTACATTGCTTGATAATCGGTTGCCTACTGTAAATCTTATGTAATTGTGAATGAGTTTTTCTCCTTCTTACAGAGAATTGTAAGTGCACAGTGCTTGGCTGAAGATGATGTTGAATGAGGTCACACCACAGCAGGGGGGGAAAGTGTTTTCTTACCCCAGAAGATGAGCATCAGTAGGGGGATAAAGGGGCAAACATAGTAGTTAATGGACTGTGTACCACATCGGGTTCTACCAGAGTTAATATTAACTTTGTGTAGGTGGGTTTCACAGGATTTTATTTATTATCCCAGTGAAAAGTGTATTTTGATAAGAATTCATTTTATAAATACACTGTGGTGAGTTATCAAAGTATCACTAACTTCATGGTTATTAAAATATGCAGTTGTAATGTTGTACATATAAAGAACGTAAAACTACGACCTGTTAAAAACCCAATGCTCATTTTTGAAAAAACAAAGTTATGGCAATAAAGATTTATCTGCACTTGTGTGTCCCTATAGTAGTACTTTAAATTTCAGAACGTTTGGGTGTCAGAGAAAACGATCTAAATGACTTAACATTAAAACTTATTTTTAATGTTATGGCTGGTCTTCCAATGCTTTTAATTAAGTTGAAAACCTTGTGTCATTTCCTGAGAAGAGAGACATGCCATCGTTGAAGCAGTAACCAGTCGCCTTAGGAAGAGCTGTGAGTGAGAATGGTAATAGATGGCTGGCTGCAGAAAGAATGACAAATCCAGGTCTGTCAGGGACAGTAACAGGCAGGGTGATGCAAGTCAAAACTCTATCTGCCAAACACGAAAGCTCTGTTGATGCAGGCGTCTGAAGTAAAGCTGTTTGGAATAGAACCTGGGGCAGATTGTGAGAGCACAAAAGTTGGGGTTTTTTGCAAGCTTGACACCTTTTTGCAAGACAGGCAGCTAACATCTCGGTCTCTAGCCTTCAAGACCATAGAAAATGGTTGTTCAGAGTCTTTGGCATTTGCTTAAAACAGGTTGCACTGGCAAGGTGAGATGATGGTAGCCCCAGCCTAAAGCTGATGGAATTAGAGAGTTGAAGTAAAATTTTGGTATGTTGCAGTACTCTAATCTTGAATTAGGTAAGTTTTTTCCTTTGCCAGTGAAAAGGAGGCAGATAATATAGAGACTCAAGTGAGTAGGAGAAGCATACTTCTGGAAGCAAGTTTTCCATGGATGGGGTGTTCCAAGTCTCCAGACAGTTCTCCGGTTTTGTGCTGTCACCACTCAGGTGGCAGAAGAAACGATTGAAAACATAGCTTTGTATTTTTGGCACGGTGACTTGTTTTAATGTAAGGAGGAAAATGCTTCAAGGTGTCTGTGGTTCAGACCAGCTGATAGTTTGCCTTACATTTAATAGTAAGGTACTAGGCGGCGTAGCCCAAGCAGAAGCGAGATACTCTGGGGGCACGGTTGTCAACATTCCCATCTGTCTCATTTCAGCCTGATGTAAGTTTCTGTAAAGGTAGATTCTTCCAAACCAAAGGTCTCAGTGCTTCAGGAGTTGCCTCACAGAGAAGTTTTGAGAGGTTAAGTGGATAGTTCATGGTTGCTCAGCAGTCACATCCCTGAGTTTGGGAGTAGAAGTGGCTGTTGCTGACTCAGTCTGTTTAGGCAGTTTGTCACGGAAGAGGTATTTTCCCCCTTAACCCCGTGAAAACAGTTTCCCAAGATTTGAGGTGCTGTTGAATCTTTCTGTAATGTGACAAATACTGAAGTTACAAAAATTTCTTGAACAGCTGGCTGTAGTTTACTCTCTTTCTTGTGCTTGGATTGTTCAGGTAGGATAAAAGTAAAACTTACTAGCCATAATCTTCAGGTGACAGTGGCTGGTTTGCTCTTTTAATTAATATTGGAGGGATAAAGTTACTCTAGAATACTTCATAAAAATACTGTGAACTTGCAGAAGGTTCTGTTCTTAATGAGTATGGTGAGGCTTTTTGGAGTTTTTCTTTTCCTCTCTGACTCCTGAAAGTAAGCATTCGTAGGTTATACTGACAGAACCGTTGGCATATTTACCTGCTGTCCTTGCTGGTGGTGATTGCTTCAGTGTAATATCCTTTTGGCTCACCTTTTAATGTTGTTTTAAGGTAAATCAAACCCTTTGACCCTGCCTTGAAAACCAAACCCAAACACCACCAGACAAAAGTGGCACCCTTCCTTCAAACCTCAGGAAGTTTCTATGCTTTTTGGTGTGATGATGACAATTGGGATTTACAGTTTAGCTTTCAGCAAAGCTCTCCCAAACTGAGTGTGTTTTAGCAAGTCTGGGTGTCAATTCTTCTGATTTTGATGGAAGACTAGGTGGTAGTCTGATTATGTCTACAATAAGGCCATTGCTTTAATAAACTTCACAGACTCACATATTACTTACTCTAACCTTTTTTACTTTGCTTGATCCTGCAAAGCTAGATGCAAACAAAGTTTTGGGTAGCATAGGCTTAAATGAAGCCTTAAGTACAAATTTTGTTCTCCTATTTGATAACCCAGAAGTACCTGGATAGTATGCTAGAGCAAGCTCTGATACCTGTTTTGAGTGCCTTGGCAATAAGGTGGGAACGATGAATCCTTTTAACAAGGCTTAAAGTTAGGGGTTTTTTTCTCCACATCTCCCAGTGAAGCAAATACCTTCACAAACTGTGAAGACTTGAAGATGCTGTCTAGAGTGGTGATTTGCTCTTGCTCCAGCACTGGCAGGCTGGCAGTGGTGTAGCCAGCATGCACAGTCCACAGGCTGTAATTCAGAATTGGTTTTGGATGCAGGCAGAGTGCAGGTCATCGGAAGTGCCATGGTAACGATGGATGTTACTGAATCGGTTGTAGCAATGCCGTTGCATAAGCTGTGCATGGCATTTCTTTTCACCTCTGCAAACCAACAGAAGGTGAAAGTGAGCCATTCCAGTTGTGAATTTGCTGCTGTTGATTAAGATCTGTAGTCTTATTCCACTGCAGGTAAAGCTACTAATCTTTCTTCTGGAAAGAGCCATCTTCCCTTTTGTGGTGCCCCAGGAACAAGGCACTTGTTTTCAGCACCAAGATGATTTCTCATAAAGGAAATAGAAACTCTGTTAGTTTCTTGTTCGGAATCATAGAATCACAGAACGGT